GAGAGTGAGAGTGTGTGTGAGTGTGAGAGTGAGTGAGTGAGTGAGTGAGTGAGTGAGTGAGTGAGTGAGTGAGTGTGTGAGTGAGTGAGAGTGAGTGAGTGAGTGAGAGAGTGAGTGAGAGTGAGAGTGAGAGAGTGAGTGTGAGTGTGAGAGTGAGTGAGTGAGTGAGAGAGTGAGTGAGTGAGTGAGTGAGTGAGTGAGTGAGTGAGTACTGGACGGCATATAACATTCCACCAGGTACGCCGCCGCCACCTTGTTGTTGAACCTTAAAGCGTAAACACGTTCGATTTGCCACAGATCAAGCAAGCCGTCATGCAGTTAAGCTTCAGTCCAGTGAAGGAGTCGTTTAAGTCGCAAGTCAGGTAAGCAGTCATTTTATCCGTATTCCAGGTAAACGGCCGTTCTAGCCGCAAACAAGTCGTTTTGGTCGTAAACCATTCTAACAAGTAGTCGCTCTGATCGCTAACCAGGAATAGTCATGACCGTAAGCCTGACACACAGATCTTGCTGGAAAACACATTCGAATTATGCACTTCCTGTTATTTGTGTTCTCTGGACTTGACGGTTGGTGAGTTACCACGTGTGGTGGCCTTAACAACCCTCCCAAGGTTACCACCCTTACAAGTCCAACAGTGGAGCCTGAGGCTTCCATTGAAGCCCAGTCAGGGTTTCATGCATTGTACTCTAGCCAACCCGTCCTCAGACCAAGTTCATTCCATCCAGCGGTCGACCCCACAGACGTATTCATCAATTGTAACTTGCTGTTTAATAAAAATAATGTTTTTATATTTGAGAAAATTACTATTATATATTAGCATATTGAGCCACTGGTCAGGTTAGAAGTTTAGGTTCTGTTGGTGATTATTTGTATTTGTAGTACGTGGGTGAAGCACTTACAGCGTTGTGGTTCGAACAAAAGTCGTCAGTGAAGCACTTGTTCCGGATTTGTTCGGACGTCATCAGTTGAGTCGCAGTCCGTCCTCCAAACAAAGACCCAAAAGTGATTCCATGCTCCCGCCAAACCCGCTGTTTATGAATTAAAAACGGTTTACACATACAACCCGTCCTCGACTCAAGTCCATTACATTCAGCGGTCGACCCCACAGACGCATTCATAAATTTTAACATGCTGTTCATTCAAAACGGGAATTTTCTCAAGTATAAATTAATATTATAATATATTAGCATATTGTGCATATATAGGCATAGGTTAGGTTAGGTTAGGTGTTTAGGTTCTGTTGGGGATTATTTGTATTTGTAGTACGTGGGTGAAGCATTTATAGCGTTGTGATTCGAACAAAATTCGTCAGTGAAGCACTTGTTCCGGATATGCTCGAACGTCAGCAGTTGTGAGTCGTGTGTAAATAGCTTTTCATTCATAAACAGGGGGTTTGGAGGGTGCATGGAATCACTTTTGGATCTTTGTTTGGAGGACGGGCTGACACATAACTGATGACGTTCGAACATATCCGGAACAAGTGCTTCACTGACGAATTTTGTTCGAATCACAACGCTATAAATGCTTCACCCCACGTACTACAAATACAAATAATCGCCAACAGAACCTAAACACCTAACCTAACCTATGCCTATATATGCACAATAGGCTAATATATTATAATATTAATTTATATTTGAGAAAATTCCCGTTTTGAATGAACAGCATGTTAAAATTTATGAATGCGTCTGTGGGTTGACCGCTGAATGTAATGGACTTGAGTCGAGGACGGGTTGAAATTTTTTTTTTTTTTTTTTGAGATATATACAAGAGTTGTTACATTCTTGTACAGCCACTAGTACGCGTAGCGTTTCGGGCAGGTCCCTGGAATACGATCCCCTGTTGCGAAGAATCGTTTTTTCATCCAAGTACACATTTTACTGTTGCGTTAAACAGAGGCTACAGTTAAGGAATTGCGCATAGTAAATCCTCCCCGGCCAGGATACGAACTCATGACATAGCGCTCGCGGAACGCCAGGCGAGTGTCTTACCACTACACCACGGAGACTAAATTTCTGTAGACTACGTACTTCGTGTACACCACGGAGACTGTAAAAAGACTATTTCACCCACGTATTACAAAAACAAATAATGGCCAACAGAACCTAAACACCTAACCTAACCTATGCCTACATATGCACAATATGCTAATATATTATAATATTTATATTAAAAAAAACGCGTTTTGAATGAACAGCATGTAAAAAGTTATGAATGCGTCTGTGGGGTCGACTGCTGGATGGAATGAACTTGAGTAGAGGACAGGTTGCGTTACTGGGATTTCATTGTGCATTTAAAGAGAAGCGTTGGAGTCGGAACTCCAGCACCACAGCCAGAGTGCACAGGGAAGGGGGGGCACTGCCTGAAATCCAACATTGGGTACCCTCTCTCAGGCCAAACTCAGCTCAACCCTCGTGATCTCAGGCCTAGTTCGTCTCAACCCTTTGGAATCTCAGCTCCAGCTGGGCTCAACCACCCGGGTCAAGCTGAGCCCAGCTCTAGGGTGTGGTGGGGGTAGGCCAGCCAGCCACCCGTGGCGGGGATATATCAAGCGAGCTACTCGCCACCACCACAGCCATTTGCGCCTCGCTCACCAAAAGGTAAACACGAGACATGGGCTCCAGGTGTACCAGCGGACTTCTCGGTGTATATACACACTGAGAGTTTACTCCTGGCTTTAGTTCCGGGTTAAAGTATACTTGCTGGTTGAAGAGGAAGTTGTGGTGGTGGCTTTAATAACCTTCCCCCACGGTCGAGAGATCATACTTATATTACACATTACACTAAACAGGTACTGTGCTCCGGCGCTCAAGTGAAGGTTACGCGGTCAACTGACAGTGATGGTGGGTGGAGTGGCAGTGGTGGTGCCACTCCCCCAATATCACTGCTGTTGAGGATGTGTTATTAATGAAATATAAATAGTATTGATGCTGGAAAGTGGAAGCGATGTTGGGGAAGTCTCGGTAAAGTTGGTAAAAATGTGATGTTGCGGTAATCGCAATTATAATGTGGCAGTAGCAGTGATAATGTAAATGTTAGCGATCGTGGTAGTGATTGTGAAGACGTGGTGGTGATTGTAAAGACGTGGTGGTGATTGTGAAGACGTGGTGGTGATTGTGAAGACGTGGTGGTGACTGTGAAGACGTGGTGGTGATTGTGAAGACGTGGTGGTGATTGTGAAGACGTGGTGGTGATTGTGAAGACGTGGTGGTGATTGTGAAGACGTGGTGGTGACTGTGAAGACGTGGTGGTGACTGTGAAGAGTGGTGGTGATTGTGAAGACGTGGTGGTGATTGTGAAGACGTGGTGGTGATTGTGAAGACGTGGTGGTGATTGTGAAGACGTGGTGGTGATTGTGAAGACGTGGTGGTGACTGTGAAGACGTGGTGGTGATTGTGAAGACGTGGTGGTGATTGTGAAGACGTGGTGGTGATTGTGAAGACGTGGTGGTGACTGTGAAGACGTGGTGGTGACTGTGAAGACGTGGTGGTGATTGTACTCACCTATACTCACCTATATGTGCTTGCAGGATCGAGCATTGACTCTTGGATCCCGCCTTTCTAGCTATCGGTTGTTTACAGCAATGACTCCTGTCCCATTTCCCTATCATACCTAGTTTTAAAAGTATGAATAGTATTTGCTTCCACAACCTGTTCCCCAAGTGCATTCCATTTTTCTACTACTCTCACGCTAAAAGAAAACTTCCTAACATCTCTGTGACTCATCTGAGTTTCCAGTTTCCACCCATGTCCCCTCGTTCTGTTATTATTACGTACGTGTGAACATTTCATCTATTTCCACTTTTTGTGGAAATTGTGAAGACGTGGTGGTGATTGTGAAGACGTGGTGGTGATTGTGAAGACGTGGGAGTGATTGTACTTGCCTAATTGTGCTTGCGGGGGTTGAGCTTTGTCTCTTTGGTCCCGCCTCTCAACTGTCAATCAACTGGTGTACAGATTCCTGAGCCTACTGGGCTCTATAATATCTACATTTGAAACTGTGTATGGAGTCAGCCTCCACCACATCACTTCCTAGTGCATTCCATTTATTAACTACTCTGACACTGAAAAAATTCTTTCTGGCGTCTCTGTGGCTCATCTGGGTACTCAGTTTCCACCTGTGTCCCTTTGTTCGTGTCCCACCCGTGCTGAAGATTTTGTCTTTGTCCACCCTGTCAATTCCCCTGAGAATTTTGTAGGTGGTTATCATGTCTCCCCTTTTGATTTCCAGGGACGTGAGGTTCAGTTTTTTTAGCCTTTCCTCGTAGCTCATACCTCTCAGTTCTAGGACGAGCCTGGTGGCATACCGTTGAATCTTCTCTAACTTTGTCTAATTGTAAAGACGTGGCAGTGATTGTGAAGACGTGGGGGGTGGGGTGATTCTGAAGTAGCATCTTGAGGTTATCTTGAGGTTATCTTGAGATGATTTCGGGGCTTTTAGTGTCCCCGCGGCCCGGTCCTCGACCAGGCCTCCACCCCCAGGAAGCAGCCCGTGACAGCTGACTAACTCCCAGGTACCTATTTACTGCTAGGTAACAGGGGCATTCAGGGTGAAAGAAACTTTGCCCATTTGTTTCTGCCTCGTGCGGGAATCGAACCCGCGCCACAGAATTACGAGTCCTGCGCGCTATCCACCAGGCTACGAGGCCCCCTACGAGCATTGCTATTGAATTGTCAGTGATACAAGGGAAATGATGATAGTTGTACATTTCATTAACAGTGATGATGGGAAGTGTCAGTGATGATGGGAAGTGTCAGTGATGCTGGGAAGTGTCAGTGATGCTGGGAAGTGTCAGTGATGCTGGGAAGATGAGGGCTTCCTCTTGCACACCCCAGGTAAATTTCAACCTGCAAGCTACTTCGGTTCTTCGTTTTCTCTTGCCTCAAAGTTGAAAAGACAAAAAGATAAAAGATAAACGTAAAAGATATATTAACACACACATAGGAGTGAAAATGTTACATGCATGTATGCATTACATACAACGTGCATGTTACATTACTCGTTCTGTCACCTTTGGGTTAGAATCGTAAATCAAGTCCCCAAAATTCTGACTGAATTTTGATCTGAAGTTTTAAGGGTGTTCCTGGTGGTTCAATGACCGGGATTTTTAGACCTGTCTTCCTAGTCTTCTGCTGCCCTTTATCTTAGTGTAAATTCTCCACCTGTTCCCTCTTGTCACCTCCTTCACCTTTAGTTCCCATTTTTGTTGTCGGCCTGTCCTTCTGTCCTTTGACCCTTCCCGATAACTGTCCGTTGTCGGACAGATCTGGAAGAAAATCTGTAAGATTGCAGGTTAATTTGTGCCGGACATCTCGCCTGTCCTTCACTCCCATGGTTCTATTGTGGCAGATCCGTCGCTGGTCGTGAACGAACTGGGGTCGTACTCTTCAACAGTTAGCTCCGGTACTCACCATTTTCCTACTTTCCCTACTCGTAAACCCTTTATTGAGCCGCGTCGCCTAGCACCCATCTGCAGCTCCCCCATGACAACCCTTTCTTCCTTTCTGAACGCCAGTCTGCACTAACTCCCTGCAGTTGTATGGTGGCGGGCCCAGACGGTGTACATAATGAGATCGTCCGCCATCTCCCACACTGCACTTTCCAGTATTTTTTTTATCTTCTTTATCCACCACGTCAAATGAGGCAGTTCCACCTCCTTTAAAATTATATCTTCAAGGTTCGTGTCTGCTAGTGTGACGGTATCTGACCTTTTAACCTGTATTTTATCATTTCATACCACTGTGTGTCGTGCCTTAGACCTCAATGTGGGTTTGAAATTTATTAATTTGTTTATTTATATATACAAGAAGGTACATTGCGTTTGTGAGGGGTACAAAGCATTGTGTTTACGTTCTTGTAAAGCTAGTAGCACGCACAGCGTTTCGGGCAGGTCCTTAATCTAACAGATAAATATATAATATACAATTTTAAAAAATTACTCGAGTGTGGTTGCACTCGAGCAAGAGCAAAGATGTGTGTGTTTACAGGGAGTAACATCTGGTCAATACCTCTCGCATACTCGGATATTAACAGTATTCTCATCACAGTTCATAAAAAAAGTTACACATAACAAATCAGCGAACCGATTGCCACAAATAATCAATTCATGTTGTGTTAAAGGAACCAAGCATCGCACTTACAACTTGTAACTTACTACTTATCAACTTTAACTTATCAACATTGCAACTTACAACTTATCTCTGTCACCAGCAATATGATATGGTTGGGAAGAACTGGTGGTGGAGTACTGGTCCTGCTGCTGCTCCTGGGCCCGCCTCCAGTGTTACCTCACCGCAGCGAGAGGCAAGGTTAGTGTCTTGTCTCTTCTTTCTCACTAAATATACACACACACTGTTTATCTGTCTGTATATCTGTCCGAGGTTAGAGGCCAGACACTTGGGGCTAGCCTCACCCAACTTTGTACCCTGATTCATGCGGGGAACGTGCCCAACATGGTCGGGTCATGCTTGGCGCATGAGAAATAAGTGCCAATTGATATAATGTCAGTGAGAAGTAAAAAAAAAACTATTTTCGGAATATCATACCATCAGTTCCTGGTATTACTATTCATGTTTATTTCAAATTTTTCTTTTTATATAATATAAAACATAGTTCTAGCTATCATACTTTGTCAGTAAATAGCTAAAATATGCCAGCATCCTGCCAGCCCAAGTGTACCTTCTCCAGACTTTACCTCCACGACCCTAGACAACCAAAGACTCTACCCCCTATCGAGAGGGAGAGAGACATTCATAGCAAATATATTGGTATATAACAAGAGTATACTAGTATACGACAATGGTAAATGAGCAGCCAACAACAGTATACCGGTATACAACAATGGTATAACAATATACGACAACAGTATTACCAGTATATGACAATGGTAATTCAGCATACTACATTAGTATATCGGTATACAGCAGCAGTTGAAACGCTAATTGTCTTGCAGTATTGAGGCCGAAACTAGTTACAGACATTAGGAATCTTTCTTATTTTGTAAAGTTTACTTTGTGGGTTTAGATTCTCTTGAGAGAGGAGGTTTAGATTCTCTTGAGAGAGGGGTTTAGATTCTCTTGAGAGAGGAGGTTTAGATTCTCTTGAGAGGAGGTTTAGATTCTCTTGAAAGGGGTTTAGATTCTCTTGAGAGGGGGGTTTAGATTCTCTTGAGAGAGGGGGTTTAGATTCTCTTGAGAGGGGGGCTTAGATTCTCTTGAGAGGGGGCTTAGATTCTCTTGAGAGGGGAAATACAGAATACAGGGGATGAAGGGTTCACCACTGGTGCTGTTGAGTCCTGCTGCTATATATATACCTCGGGAGGATTGTAAACATCCTATTGTGAGGTGTATGTGAGGTGCCTCACCTTTGGGAAATCCCAGAGTCCCTTGTACTGTACCTTTCCTGTAGTGACCAGCCTGCGCCTCGCCTGTAGTGAGTGACCTGCACCTCACCTTTGTGCCTCTGAAGGCGAAGCGTGCAGTTGATGAACTACTTTACCTATACCAGAGTTCATGGCTGGGGGGGGGGGGAGGGGTATGTAACACTTAGATTGGCTTCAGTAGAAGCCTGCAGACGTCTTGTGGATTCAGTGGATTCCCAGGTTGCGTAATTTATGTCATGTCGTGGTGCAGGGGTTAAGGTACACTGCTGGGAGTATACCTAGGGTGGCGCTGGTTCAAAGCACCTCATTGTTCTAATAGCCTCGGTGATAGCCGAGGCTACTTGAACCACCACCTCGACGACACTTTGATGGTAATCTTGGGCATGGTTGATGGTAATCTTGGGCATGGTTGATGGTAATCTTGGGCATGGTTGATGGTAATCTTGGGCATGGTTGATGGTAATCTTGGGCATGGTTGATGGTAATCTTGGGCATGGTTGATGGTAATCTTGGGCATGGTTGATGGTAATCTTGGGCATGGTTGATGGTAATCTTGGGCATGGTTGATGGTAATCTTGGGCATGGTTGATGGTAATCTTGGGCATGGTTGATGGTAATCTTGGGCATGGTTGATGGTAATCTTGGGCATGGTTGATGGTAATCTTGGGCATGGTTGATGGTAATCTTGGGCATGGTTGATGGTAATCTTGGGCATGGTTGATGGTAATCTTGGGCATGGTTGATGGTAATCTTGGGCATGGTTGATGGTAATCTTGGGCATGAAGATAAAACAACCATGCCCAACATTACCTTCAAAGTGTCGTCGAGGTGGTGGTTCAAATAGCCTCGGTTATCACCTCTGTTTGTACGGTCACTGATGGTCGAGTGGTTAAGGCCTCCTGTACACCAGTTGCATAGTGCTCCTGGCAGTATGGGTTCGAGTCACTTCTGGGGTGTGGAGTTTTCAGTATATATATATATATATATATATATATATATATATATATATATATATATATATATATATATATATATATATATATATATATATATATATATATATATAATCTATATTTCAAGTTAGTGTAGTTTTTTGTGTATTTGTGTACATGTGTTTATGCTTAATTTTGTTTACATTTGCTTGTAATTTAATTTCGTATATATGTGTTTATACTTAAATTAGTTTGTATGTTTGTGCTTAATTTTGTTTGCCTGTGTTTGTGCTTAATTTTGTTTGCCTGTGTTTGTTTAACGACGAATGAGCTTTAAATAATCTATATAGAGAGTTGATCTGACAGTCTTTCCCTTCCCTCTCTACCGTCTCTCACAATCTCCCTCCTCTCTCACCCTTCACCATCTGTCTCTGTTCCAAGGTGGAGACCAGGAGCTTGGTGCCAGCCTCACGGATATACAGGTTTTCGAGTCGCCCAAATTTAAAGATACAGAGTAAATGGGTAGCTATTTGAAGAAAAACAAATATATTAAACCGATTTCTCATAGAAATAAACACCATTGTCCACTGATTTTGGGAAAATTAACACACACACACACACACATTATATATATATATATATATATATATATATATATATATATATATATATATATATATATATATATATATATATATATATATATATATATATATATATATATATATATATATATATATATATATATATATATATATATATATATATATATATGCAAACAAGCCTGAATGGTCCCCAGGACTATATACAACTGAAAACTCACACCCCAGAAGTGACTCGAACCCATACTCCCACAACTGGTATGTACAGGGACGCCTTAATCCGCTTGACCATCACGACCGGACATAAGGAAGTGATAGCCGAGGCTATTTGAACCACTTCCCCGCCGGCACTCGGATGGTAATCTTGGGCATAGCATTTTATCAAATCACCTCATTCTTTGGGGCACACGTGAGGAACACAAATGCAAACAAGCCTGAATGGTCCCCAGGACTATATACAACTGAAAACTCACACCCCAGAAGTGACTCGAACCCATACTCCCACAACTGGTATGTACAGGGACGCCTTAATCCGCTTGACCATCACGACCGGACATAAGGAAGTGATAGCCGAGGCTATTTGAACCACTTCCCCGCCGGCACTCGGATGGTAATCTTGGGCATAGCATTTTATCAAATCACCTCATTCTTTGGGGCACACGTGAGGAACACAAATGCAAACAAGCCTGAATGGTCCCCAGGACTATATACAACTGAAAACTCACACCCCAGAAGTGACTCGAACCCATACTCCCACAACTGGTATGTACAGGGACGCCTTAATCCGCTTGACCATCACGACCGGACATAAGGAAGTGATAGCCGAGGCTATTTGAACCACTTCCCCGCCGGCACTCGGATGGTAATCTTGGGCATAGCATTTTATCAAATCACCTCATTACCATCCGAGTGCCGGCGGGGAAGTGGTTCAAATAGCCTCGGCTATCACTTCCTTATGTCCGGTCGTGATGGTCAAGCGGATTAAGGCGTCCCTGTACATACCAGTTGTGGGAGTATGGGTTCGAGTCACTTCTGGGGTGTGAGTTTTCAGTTGTATATAGTCCTGGGGACCATTCAGGCTTGTTTGCATTTGTGTTCCTCACGTGTGCCCCAAAGAATGAGGTGATTTGATAAAATGCTATGCCCAAGATTACCATCCGAGTGCCGGCGGGGAAGTGGTTCAAATAGCCTCGGCTATCACTTCCTTATGTCCGGTCGTGATGGTCAAGCGGATTAAGGCGTCCCTGTACATACCAGTTGTGGGAGTATGGGTTCGAGTCACTTCTGGGGTGTGAGTTTTCAGTTGTATATAGTCCTGGGGACCATTCAGGCTTGTTTGCATTTGTGTTCCTCACGTGTGCCCCAAAGAATGAGGTGATTTGATAAAATGCTATGCCCAAGATTACCATCCGAGTGCCGGCGGGGAAGTGGTTCAAATAGCCTCGGCTATCACTTCCTTATGTCCGGTCGTGATGGTCAAGCGGATTAAGGCGTCCCTGTACATACCAGTTGTGGGAGTATGGGTTCGAGTCACTTCTGGGGTGTGAGTTTTCAGTTGTATATAGTCCTGGGGACCATTCAGGCTTGTTTGCATTTGTGTTCCTCACGTGTGCCCCAAAGAATGAGGTGATTTGATAAAATGCTATGCCCAAGATTACCATCCGAGTGCCGGCGGGGAAGTGGTTCAAATAGCCTCGGCTATCACTTCCTTATGTCCGGTCGTGATGGTCAAGCGGATTAAGGCGTCCCTGTACATACCAGTTGTGGGAGTATGGGTTCGAGTCACTTCTGGGGTGTGAGTTTTCAGTTGTATATAGTCCTGGGGACCATTCAGGCTTGTTTGCATTTGTGTTCCTCACGTGTGCCCCAAAGAATGAGGTGATTTGATAAAATGCTATGCCCAAGATTACCATCCGAGTGCCGGCGGGGAAGTGGTTCAAATAGCCTCGGCTATCACTTCCTTATGTCCGGTCGTGATGGTCAAGCGGATTAAGGCGTCCCTGTACATACCAGTTGTGGGAGTATGGGTTCGAGTCACTTCTGGGGTGTGAGTTTTCAGTTGTATATAGTCCTGGGGACCATTCAGGCTTGTTTGCATTTGTGTTCCTCACGTGTGCCCCAAAGAATGAGGTGATTTGATAAAATGCTATGCCCAAGATTACCATCCGAGTGCCGGCGGGGAAGTGGTTCAAATAGCCTCGGCTATCACTTCCTTATGTCCGGTCGTGATGGTCAAGCGGATTAAGGCGTCCCTGTACATACCAGTTGTGGGAGTATGGGTTCGAGTCACTTCTGGGGTGTGAGTTTTCAGTTGTATATAGTCCTGGGGACCATTCAGGCTTGTTTGCATTTGTGTTCCTCACGTGTGCCCCAAAGAATGAGGTGATTTGATAAAATGCTATGCCCAAGATTACCATCCGAGTGCCGGCGGGGAAGTGGTTCAAATAGCCTCGGCTATCACTTCCTTATGTCCGGTCGTGATGGTCAAGCGGATTAAGGCGTCCCTGTACATACCAGTTGTGGGAGTATGGGTTCGAGTCACTTCTGGGGTGTGAGTTTTCAGTTGTATATAGTCCTGGGGACCATTCAGGCTTGTTTGCATTTGTGTTCCTCACGTGTGCCCCAAAGAATGAGGTGATTTGATAAAATGCTATGCCCAAGATTACCATCCGAGTGCCGGCGGGGAAGTGGTTCAAATAGCCTCGGCTATCACTTCCTTATGTCCGGTCGTGATGGTCAAGCGGATTAAGGCGTCCCTGTACATACCAGTTGTGGGAGTATGGGTTCGAGTCACTTCTGGGGTGTGAGTTTTCAGTTGTATATAGTCCTGGGGACCATTCAGGCTTGTTTGCATTTGTGTTCCTCACGTGTGCCCCAAAGAATGAGGTGATTTGATAAAATGCTATGCCCAAGATTACCATCCGAGTGCCGGCGGGGAAGTGGTTCAAATAGCCTCGGCTATCACTTCCTTATGTCCGGTCGTGATGGTCAAGCGGATTAAGGCGTCCCTGTACATACCAGTTGTGGGAGTATGGGTTCGAGTCACTTCTGGGGTGTGAGTTTTCAGTTGTATATAGTCCTGGGGACCATTCAGGCTTGTTTGCATTTGTGTTCCTCACGTGTGCCCCAAAGAATGAGGTGATTTGATAAAATGCTATGCCCAAGATTACCATCCGAGTGCCGGCGGGGAAGTGGTTCAAATAGCCTCGGCTATCACTTCCTTATGTCCGGTCGTGATGGTCAAGCGGATTAAGGCGTCCCTGTACATACCAGTTGTGGGAGTATGGGTTCGAGTCACTTCTGGGGTGTGAGTTTTCAGTTATATATATATATATATATATATATATATATATATATAATTTTCTTCCCCCACCCAGGGTAGTTAGTTCTCCCTCTATAGAATCCTGTGTGGGTGTGAAGACTGTGGTGTCGTCCGCCTTATGTTAATTGGTTTTCCTATTGGCAAGAAGCAACATCTAACTCCCAATTACCTGTTACTGCTAGGTGAACAATATCATCAGGTGAAAGAAACTCTGGCTATTTGTTTCCGTCTCGGCTGGGAATCGAACCCAGGTCCGTTGGATTAGGATTCCCGAGCGCAGTCTGCTCGGCCATGAGGACCTGTGAAGTATTTGTGTGTGAACTTAACTAAAGTGTACTCAAGCATCTTTGCAGGTTCGAACAACAGCGTGAAGGAAGCGCATCTTATGATGTGTTCATAGTATGGTATTGTCTCTTGTACCGCTGTACAGCACTGAGCTGCTTCATGTGCCTCTTCGTGTCTTCCTGGTGTCTCTTTGGCTTTTCCAACTCTTTCCATCTCCGCTAATTTATACTACACACTGTATATTTGTCTATTATATCAGTCCCTCTAATATTCCATGATTCCATATACCTTTATTTCCACTGTATATGTATGCGCGTCTATGTTTACACGTGTGTATATGTATGTGCGTGCGTCTGTTTACATGTGTGTATATGTATGTGTGTTTTACTAATCACTAACCTTAAGTGGGGCTCTACCCTGCAGCCCAGTACGTACGTGGCATCCCGCCGGCCAGAACTGCCTCATCTCTGCAAAACGAGCCAGGTCAGCCTATAATAGGCCTAGACACCGGAGAGTGTTTTACCCATATGTCACTCAGAACAGTTGAGTTTAACGTCTTTAACTTGTGCACTCTGAAAAAAATATTTATATAGAAATACTTTTTCTTTGAGCGTTTTCATCTCCTCCAACGCGTCATCAGAGACATCGTGAAATATTAAGTAAAACAAATAATTTTTCCACATTAACCTTTTATTTGTTCCTGCAATTTTGTTAATAAATGGGTCTATCACAATTGTAAAGGGCAAATGATTACAACAATGAAAATAGTTTAATTCAACTTGATTCCAGTATATTTCTATCTATGAATTGCAAACAAGAAGCCATTTTTTAACATTGTTCCAATCAATTGGATGTTTATCATGCCTAACGGACAATCGACTCCTCACTGGTTTCAAATGCTATAAATATGTTGATTAATCCCCTCTAAAGTTTCTCTATTAATACATCTTTAATCGTATTCAAATTCTTTAATACAATAACAATATTTAGACGTATTAAGACATAAGACACCTTTGCTGTGCTCTCAGTAAATGGAGATATCACAAATCATCCCATTAAAAAATAATGTTACAAAACTAGCCTCTTGTAAATCATTCATGAACGGGAAACATAGTTTAATTAAATCAAATAATATGATCAATATTTTCCCCGGGCTGTTTAAGTTAGACCCATTTATTGTTAGCAAATTGTCAGGAATAATTAAATAGATGAGTTGATGCATTTTTTCAGTCATCAACAGTAGGATTGGAGTCGTGTCCCCATTCTAAGGTCTACTTTTCCATTCTCATATCGACCTATAATATATATATATATATATATATATATATATATATATATATATATATATATATATATATATATATATATATATATATATATATATATATATATATCGTACCTAGTAGCCAGAACGCACTTCTCAGCCTACTATGCAATGCCCGATTTGCCTAATAAGCCAAGTTTTCCTGAATTAATATATTTTCTCTAATTTTTTTCTTATGAAATGATAAAGCTACCCATTTCATTATGTATGAGGTCATTTTTTTTTATTGGAGTTAAAATTAACGTAGATATATGACCGAACCTAACCAACCCTACCTAACCTATCCAAACCCAACCTAACCTATCTTTATAGGTTAGATTAGGTAGCCCAAAAAGTTAGGTTAGGTAGTCGAAAAACAATTAATTCATGAAAACTTGGCTTATTAGGCAAATTGGGCCCTGCATAGTAGGCTGAGAAGTGCGTTCTGGCTACTAGGTACGACATATATATATATATATATAATAATAATAATAATAATAATAATAATAATAATAATACTGAGTAATGCATGTATATTATCACCTAATAAGCCTCTGAAGATGTGTTTAAGAATACAAAAGAGCTCAAACATGTTTTCTTAATTTCTCTGTGGGGGGTTTTCATTTGTATTTGACACATTTTGTAATTTGTCGAAATGGTAATAGTCGAAAGGGAACAATCAATGTAGCAGAAATGTTCTTTAAATTATTTAGGTTATTCTTCATTTAGGAATTGATTTGACAAATGACTGCTTCAAAGCTGATTTTACACTTTTAATAGACGCAACATATTTAACTAATGTCAGCTTAACATTCTCAGAGACAAAGTGAATTTAAAAGATTGATTTGACTGATGAAGATTAAGCCACCCAAGAGGTGGCACGGGCATGAATAGCCCGTAAATTCAAACGGACAAACTCAACAATTTATATGCATGAGGATGTAATGACAGGAGAGGGTCATTACCTTCGGGAATCTAACTTCAATCTTGTGAGCTGTAGAAAAGTAATACCTAAATGGAGGTTTGTTTAAAACTAAGCACAGAGCTTCACTGGAGGTCCCTCAGCCTCGCTGAGTGTTCTGTCTGGTACCTGGAAGATGTCAACAACATGCCCGCAACAGAAGTCGGGTATAAAGTTCAGCTCTACTAGAACTTTCTCCGCTGTGGCATCACTGAAGGGAGTGGTACTTGCCGTTTAACAAACAATGTCAACAGTCTAAGACAAAAAGCATGAGGGAGTGGAAAAAATACAGAGAACGGAGGGAAAATTAAACCAAAACAATTGAAACGGGACTAGCCTAACTACATGGGACAAAGATTGCTAGGCGAGTGTACACACACACACACACACACACACACACACACACACACACACACACACACACACACACACACACACACACACACACACACACACACACAGTACACATTTGGAAAAAATCCACATCTCTCCAGTTCTCCAAAATTAACCTGAGCCAAAATGCAGATAACCAGCAAAAGCACAACTAACCTCACGCCTTCTGAGATTCAACCAAAGACATCTCTTGCAGTGTTTCCAACATCGCGTCCCAGATGCTTCAACGGCGAGCCGTGTATCCGTATTGCGGACTGCCCCACCTTTTCTTCCATTCTTGAGGGCCGACCTAACAGACAAGAGATCAGGAGACTGCAGAACGCCCTCTGCGGCTTCAGCAACAGGAGGGAGCCAATGGTGAGTGTTATTGCTGCTTCATATTGCGTTCTGTTAACAAGCACAGTTGTTAGCATTGCAAGAGGGACAGGGATTGTGCCGTTGAGGATGCTACTGAGATAGGGACATAATTCATATCATTGAGATGCTGTTGAAGTTACACTTGTTACTTGCTTATAAATATTAATTGTTTTATATACCAATTCTTTCTGTAATACCATAAATGGTTTTATAAAGTAACATAAAGAGTAGTCTAGCATGAGAGAGGTAATTGCGGCGCCAGAGATCCTGCTGCTAGTTAATGGTAACTTAGTTCCCTGGCTCCTCTATAATAGGATAGCAAGTTGAGAGTTCAGAGAGACGGAGAGAGAGCTTGAAATTGAAATAAGTTTATTGTGGTAAAATACACACAAAGGGATGAGGTAGCTCAAGCTATTCTCACCCCGTTCAGTACAACGTGTTCGTACATATATGAACACCCATCACAAACAATAAACATATTACCGAACATTCTGAGAGATAAACATATACATTTCTTAGAGAGCTTGAGGGTTTAAAAACACCTTAGACCCAAGTCAGATCTTGACCTATCTAGGCTAGTGGGACCTTGACCAGACCAACACACCCCCCACCCGACACATTACACCTTGGGCGAGTTGTGTGTGTGTGACGATGTATAATATATTGTGGTCCCTAAATGTTTTGTGAATTGGTCGGGGTCAACATCCATCGACAGATCTCCAGTATCAGCTATTGGTATTAGTAATGGCTCCAAACAGCCTTCACCTAAGGGTTATTCATGCCCGTGCCACCGTTTGGGTGGCTTAATCTTGATCAATTAATCAATCAGATCGCGGGCAGTCAGTTATGTAGTGATTCCATTTCCCAACAGTGACTATAGGTTTGGTTGGTCTATGATATTCACACATGTAGAGTAACTAGTAATATAAATGTCAACTGTCAATTCTTGAAAGATGGCCTTTAATTCCAAGTATCCTTCCGAAAGTAACAACGGTGGTACCGGCCAATGGTGCTGAATAGTAGGTTATGGAGTAGAAATCTTAGTTTCGTGAGCAACAGTTCCAGAAGCCTCACATTCCCGCATTTCTGAATTTCCCCAAAGATCATAAGACGCAATATCAGCTACAGTGTTTTGTTTCCTTCTGGCACAGGCGTGCTGTCCAGACCAGAGCGGGGATTCGGCTCCTACTGTGCCCACAGTCCGGCCTCCAGTTCCTGACCGGCTGACAGCCAGACCTGCGGGTCCTGGGCGACCCACAGCCAGACCTGCAGGTCCTGGGCGACCCACAACCAGACCCACAGTTCCGACACCGCCCACGGCGCCCCCGGTAGTGCCCACCCTGCCCCCCAGCAACCCTGGTAATGGGGAATCGCTGTTGCCGCGCACCTGTGGCTCCCCCAGCAACGGTCAGACTCGCATCTTCTTCGGCGAGGACGCTCCGATCGGCGCTTACCCTTGGATGACTCTGCTGGGCTATACCTGTGAGTACCTGTGTTTCTACCTGTGAGTACCTGTGTTTCTACCTGTGTTTCTGACTTGAGACTTGTGATGTCTACATCTCCTACAAGTTGTTCTACCTTGTAGCCTAAGTTTCTTGTTTTTCTGTGCCTTCAAACCCTGTGGTTAGTGAAGGCTGTTGAAGGATGATCTCTGCATTATTTTATTTCAATGAGCTCTCATAATTAGTATTAAGACGTTATAAACATTGTATTTTATATCTAGTTCTCAAAAAAATATATATATTTTATTAACAGTTAATTCGAATTAAATCTTTTGTAAGATAAATTTTGTTCTAACGAAAAGTCTCGTATTACATAGTTGGTTCTAATAAAAAACTTGAATTTTACAGCCAGTTAGAATGAAGAAATATTAGAATGGTAAAGAAACTAGACAGGGGATTAATGGTAATTTGCAACCAGTTTGCTCGTTTTTAATATAATCTTCCATGATTTATTGTGCTTGGGCCAAATATCTTATGCTTAGGCACTAATCTGACTCTACCAGAATAGTGAGCTTGGCCTCAAAGAAACCTCACAGTACACAACACAGCATCAGAAGAACCTCGTGTAACTATTAGGTAGGGAGGTCATTTAATGAGATCAAATCCAACACCCTGCACTCACTCACACTACCCATTGAACCATGATCAGCTTACGTGGGAGTATGATCACTGTTAAGTGGGTTAGGCTAGCCAGAAGCGTCTCAACCTAGCCAGTGGTGCTCATTGGTGGAAGAAAGCCTCAATATTAGTGATGGAAACACCTTAAGCACCAGAAATGTGACGCTGTGGTCAATAGCCTATTAAGCGTAAGGACAGATACAATGATTCATATTCACCAAGAAATGAACACCTCTTTCTGAATACATACCTTAGTAAATATAACCGACACAAAATTTAATTTTGTTTTTAAATTTATTAAAAAAAAGTATTACTACAAAACTACGTTTTTTTTTTTTCAAATCAACTACTGATTATTAAGAAAGATAACTCAATAATATAAATATAAAATATAAGTTTTATGCTGCATATAGTGGAAAGGATAAAGCAAGTACTAATGTGTTGATATTGTACAGCGAGCAGCCAGCAGCAGGTGGTGTGGGCGTGTGGTGGGGCCCTGATCACCCAGCAGTATGTTCTTACTGCTGGCCACTGTACTGACCCTCAGTTTACCGCCAACCGCCAGCTGTAAGTATCTACTTCACCATAATTTCCTAAGTGTAGTAACAGGATGACAGCTATGCTCGTGGTGTCCCGTCTTCTCAGTACTCTTTGTCATATAACGCTTTGAAACTACTGACGGTCTTGGCCTCCACCATCTTTTCACTTAACTTGTTCCAACCGTCTACCACTCTGTTTGCGAAGGTTAATTTTTCTTATATTTCTTCGATCGGCAGCTCTGCTTGGTTAGGCAGCTCTGTTTGGTTACCTTAAATATAGAAACGCTACGCGTACTAGTGGCTGTACAAGAATGTAACAACTCTTGTATATATCTCCCAAAAAAAAAAAAAAAAAAAAAAAATGACCTCTCGTTCCTAAAGTTCAGAGTTTTAAGAATTATTCTATATCAGTTTTGTAGATTCCTGTTACTATTTTGTATGTATTGATCCTTTCACCTCTTTTTCTTCTATTTTCTAGATTTAGCATATTAAATGCATCTAGCCTCTCCTCGTAGCTCTTTTTATTAATACATTTAGGTACGTCTTCATTTGTGCAGCTGTCCTAGACTATATGAAGGGGGGGTATGTTCCAATGTTCTCCCACGGCAGTAGTCCCAGACTACTGCCGTGGGAGAACATTGGAATGGATAGGACCCTAATGGATAACAGGAACATGAGAATGGATAGCAGGGATAAGGGTGATAAGAGCGAGGAGGAGGAGGATTTGGATTTAGGTACCAGGGATAAGGCTAGTAGGGAGAAGCCTACACAATTAAAACATTTACATAAGACAATAATGTGTCGCGGAGTCAGGCCTACGCAGTATTATACAAGCTTCATTTTGTGTGTGTGTGTGTGTATCAGGACGGTGATTCGCCTGGGAGAGTACAACCTGTCCACGGACCCCGACTGTGTGGACGGCACGTGCGCTCCGTCCCACCAGACCTTCTCCCCCGCGTCCATCCTCCGTCACCCGTCCTTCAACTCCCGCGGTACCGTCACTGACGACATCGCCCTCGTCAGGCTCAACGGCACCGTCTCTTTCAATGGTAAGACCACGATGGCGTCTATGACAAGCCGTTACTTGTACTAGTAGGTTGCATTCGTAACGTTGTTTACCCTAACAAACGAACAAAAACGCGACCCAATTAGATAAAAGAACGGGTTCACCATTGCCGTTTTCCGTTGCAGCAATATATATATGGTCGAGATCAAGGGATCCCTACGAGGCCATGTTGACTATGTCATTTAGTCAGGTGTGTGTGCCTATCAGGTGGCGCCATGTTGTTGTGGACTGTTAGGTAGATATGAGTAATGCGTACAGATGAAGTAAGTCCTTTTACACTTTATGGCAAGTTACGTGTTTTCACCTAAAATTATTTTTGGCAATAATGATTGTCTAAATGGTTTTGTTTATAAAAAAAATTGTTATTGTTTATTACAAATTATTTTGAATTTGTTTTTAGTTAAAACAGAGTTGTTTTCTAAATGTTTTTGTCTAACGAATATTAGTTTGCAAATTATTAATAGTTTAGGAATAGAAATCATTTACTTCATTAATCTCCGATGTGACTAAATAAATACAGTTTGCACTCTCAATACTGGTAAATACATAATAATCAAATATATTTTACAAGAACCAGAACTCTTCGAATATTTGCAATCAATAGCCTTATAACAACAATGCTTTTCAAATTATATAACCACAATTTTTTCAACAAATATAAATGTTTTCAGGCATCAAAAATCTTAGCAACACGAAAATGAATGTCTTTTTTCGGTGAACTATTTATTAGAATAACCACAATAATCTTAAGAGGAATTCGTCTCTATGCAGACGAGGAGAAATAACGTGGCTGAAATATGTTGACCAAACCACACACTAGAAAGTGAAGGGACGACGACGTTTCGGTCCGTCCTGGACCTGGACCATTCTCAAGTCTATTGTGAGAATGATCGACTTGAAAATGGTCCAGGACGGACCGAATTCGTCTCTAGATTTGAAATTTAACTCCTTTTAAAATCTTCCTGACTGTTAATCCCATTGTTTTCCGGTTGAGCAAGTAATAGAGTTGCTGTACCTGTCACTCCTCCTGCAGCATATGTACAGCCCGTGTGCTTGCCTCCCGCCGATATCGACATCAGCACCTTCCTGTCGGGGCGCCAGGCGACGGTGGCAGGCTGGGGCGTCACGGAGAGAGGGGCCAACACACAGGTCCTCCAGCGGGTTCGAGTTCCATTCGTCAGTCGTGATGTGTGTAATCCTGTTTATAGAAACGCTCTCGTTCCGGAACAGGTAAGTGTTTTCGTCTTGCTATCTCCAGCTTATCCTTAAATGTTTATCTTGCGGAGCCGCGGCTTGAGGACTGAAACCGGTCCTTACACTAGGCTGGGTAAAGTAAGTAAGTAATTATCAAAAGAAGGCACCAAACCGGGAAGGCTATGTAGCACCATCAAATACGCAAAATAATCAGAGGGCGCTAAATATCACCAAGGATGCCAATACGAGAACAAAAACGCATAAGGCGAACGATATCAAAAGTATCCGAGTCACCAAGAATTCTATCGAGGGACAGGTGACCACGAGGGGCGGTCGGAAAGCAAGACACACGCTCGTCCTGGAAGTCAGGACATTCAAGAAGGACATGCACGACCGTAAGAGGGACAATGCAACTAGGACAATAAGGAGCAGGGCGGCGCTCCATCAAGTGACCATGGGTTAAGCGAGTATGGCCAATACGCAACCTCGCCAGAGCTGTATCCCACCGCCGGTTATGGTGGAAGGAGGACGGCCATGAGGAAACACAACATTTAAGAGTACGTAGCTTGTTACCAGTAACAGACAACCAAGAAGCCTGCCAACGGGTAAGGACTGAGGAATGGATAACCGGGTAAAAGTCGGAATACGGAATGCCTTTACGAGAGATGGGACAAGAGCGGACAGCTTCCTTAGCGGCAGCATCCGCACGCTCATTTAAAGACACACCAATATGGCTGGGAACCCAACAAAACTCAACCGACTTAAATTTACTGTGAACGAGAAACAGCCAATGCTGGATCTCGACAACTACTGGATGAACCGGATTAAAGGACCCGAGAGCCATGAGGGCACTACGAGAGTCAACAACAACCACAAAGGAAGACTGACAACGAGAAAGCAGGAGACGAAGAGCATAGAGAATAGCATAAAGTTCCGCTGTAAAGATGCTAGTCTTCGGAGGCAAGCGACACATATAAGTGCGATCAGGAAAAACAACAGAGTAGCCAACACCGTCCGCTGACTTAGACCCATCGGTGAAGACAAACGGAGCGGGAGTGAGAAGAAAAGTGCTCGAGGAAAAGGCGTTTTAGAACCGTAGGAGGGGTAAAAGCTTTAGTGATACGGGTCAAGGAAGTACAAAACCGCGGAAGAGGGACCCTCCACGGGGGCAAAGAAGGAACAACATGAGGAGAAACATCAGAAATACGAACGGAGAGAGAATCCTGTAGGCGAGATAACCGGACAGAAAGAGGGAGGTGGTGAAGAGGAACAGGAACCGCAGGAGGGGTAAAAGTTAAAGCACGACAGAGGCGAGAGGAAGGATGTTGCAAGGACCGCGCAAGATAGCGAAGACAGTAGCGATCACGGCGGTCCTGGAGAGACAAGAAGCCAGTGTCAACATACAAGCTAAGGATGGGAGTCGAACGAAAGGCACCAGAACTGAGGCGCAACCCAGTATGGTGCAAAGCATCAAGACGGCGAAGAGTAGAAGGAGAAGCAGACGAGTAAGCAGGGCAACCATAATCGAGCTTAGACAGGACGAGAGAGGAATGTAAAGCAAGGAGAGTGCGCCTATCTGCCCCCCAAGAAGTATGGGACAAGACCCGAAGGAGGGTAAGGGCCTTAGAGCACTCAACATGGAGGTAAGAGATATGGGGAGACCAAGACAAACGAGTGTCAAGGAATAACCCCAAAAGCTTCGGGGAATCTTTGTATCCAAGGGGATGACCATAAAGTGACAAAGAGGGACGAAGAACAACCCGTTTCCACGTAAAAGTCATGGCACAAGTCTTAGAAGTAGAGAACTTGAAGCCATGACCTGTGGCCCAAGACGACACGGCATCAATTGCAAGTTGAAGCCGGCGTTGAAGGAGAGGCGAATCATCACCCTGACAACAAAGGGTAAGATCATCGACATAGAGAGCGGAGAAGACACCAGAAGGAAGAGAGGAAAGAAGACCATTGAGGGCAACCAGAAAAAGAGTAGTGCTCAGAACACTACCCTGGGGCACACCTTCGTATTGCTGAAAAGAGGCAGAGAGAGCGGTACCAAGGCGCACCCGAAAGGAATGACGAGAGAGGAAGCTGCGGAGAAAGAGAGGGAGATGACCACGAAGGCCAAAAGAATGAAGTTGAGATACGATATGATAACGCCAAGTGGTGTCGTAAGCCTTTTCTAGGTCAAAAAGGACGGCAACAACGGAGGTCTTCGCAGCAAAAGCAGTACGAATATAGACCTCCAAGTTCACCAGGACATCTGTCGTGCTGCGGCACTTGCGGAAACCAAATTGAGAAGGGGAGAGGAGGTGATGGTGTTCCAGGAACCACATCAGACGAACGTTAACCATACGTTCAAAGAGTTTGCAGACACAACTTGTGAGAGCAATAGGGCGAAAGTCCTTAGGGGAAGTACCCAGAGACCCCGGTTTGCGAACAGGGAGGACAACGGCATCGAGCCAGTCCTCAGGGACTGACGACGACTCCCAGATCCGATTATACAGACTCAGTAAATACTGAGACGTGCTCGGAGGGAGATGGCGAAGCATCTCATAATGAATACCATCGGAGCCCGCCGCCGTAGAACCACAGAGGGCCAGGGCAGAACGAAGTTCAGAGAGAGAGAAGGGATCATTATAGGGAAGCCGAAGATGAGTGCAGAAATCTAAAGGACGAGACTCAAGGACAGGTTTACGAAGAAGGAAAGATTGGGGAAGATGAAGACCAGAGCTAACAGAAGAAAAGTGGGAACCCAGTTCGGAAGCGACCTGCAACGGGTCCGCCACAAGAGTATCACGGAGGTGAAGGACCGGTGAAACATCGGGAACGAACTTACCCGCTATCTTGCGGATACGCTTCCAGATCTGGGCCAGAGGGGTCTCGGACGTAATTGTTGAGACATAAGATGCCCAACATTCACGTTTAGCCATACGGATGGCCCTACGGGCCACCGCACTCGCTTTCCGAAAGAAAAGAAAAGAATCGGTCGTCTGCCTACGGCGGTGCCTCTTCCAGGCTGCACGCTTACAGCGGACAGCCCGAGCACAGTCCGCATTCCACCAGGGAACGCACTTCCGTGGACCCCGAGAGGAAGAGCGAGGAATAGAGCGGAGGGCAGCGTTGAAGACAGTGTCATGAAAAAGGAGGAGAGCGTGAGAGAGAGGCAGAAGGGAGAGGTCAGAGAGAGCAGCACTGAGGGTAAATAGGGTCCAGTCTGCCTTAGCAAACAGCCACCTAGGGAAAGAGAGGGAAGGGCGAAAAGAGAAAAAGGAAACAAGGATGGGGAAATGGTCACTTCCATGGAGGTCATCAAGAACCTGCCACGTGAAATCTAAGTAAAGAGAAGAAGAGCAGAGAGAAAGTTCAAGACAAGAAAGGGTGCGAGTCCGAGAGTCCAAATGAGTGGGCTCACCAGAATTCAGAAGAGACAGGGAAGAAGAGAGGAGAAACGGCTCAAGGAGGCGACCCCGGGTATTCGTCAGAACGTCACCCCAAAGAGAATGACGACAATTGAAGTCACCCAGCAGGAGCACAGGCTCCGGCAAGGAGTCTAGGAGGTGTTTCAAATCAGGAAGAGAGAGCGGGACACTCGGGGGGAGATAAATGGAACAAACTGTGTACCATTTCCCCACAAAGATACGAGCAGTAGAACAATGGAGAGGCAAAGGAAAAAGTAAAGGAACAAAGGGAACATCAGCCCGAATCAAGAGAGCAGAAGAATTAGAAGCCCCAGCAATGGCTGGGGGGGGGGGGGGAGAGAAAGGAATAGCCACGAAAACGACCAGAACGAGCACCAAGCATTGGCTCCTGGAGACAGACACAAAGGGGCGAAAACCGCGAAATCAGAAGTTGGAGTTCGAGGAAATTGGCGTAATAACCTCGAACGTTCCATTGAAGAATGGACAACGACGAGAAGAGAAAGGACAAAAACAGAGAACAAGGAAGAAACAAAGGCGAAAGAGCAACAGAGCACGTTAAAGAATATCAGGGTCAGGATCAGGGTCAGCAAAGTCAGGGTTAGGGGGCATGGGTAAACTGAGCAAAGACGGAGGGAAGGAAACGGGAGAACAGATCAGAGGTGGGCGGGCAGGGTCCGGAGGAGGAGGAGGAAGAGGAGACAACGGAGAGGAGCAGTCAAGGACAGCAGCAGGAAGAGTGGGAGTAGAAAGAGGGGAGCGCACCCCAGCAAGAGCAGCAACCGAAAGGGAAGCAGGGGCCAAAGAAACCTCCATAGCAGGAACAGGGGGCGCAAGCACTGAAACGGGAGGGGAAGGAGCAACAGAGCCAGAAGGAGGAGCTGAGGAAGAAAGCGAAGCCTTCTTACCCACCGGGGAAGAGGAAGGAGAGGAGCCAGGCTTACGCTTCTGACTTAAAGAGACCGGTGTCCCAGCAACTACGTACCGGGCAACGGATTCCAGTGTCTCAACAGGAGAAGCCGAACGAGAGCACACACGACGGCCGTTAGGAGAGCGATGGACATCCGCCCGCACCGACAGGCGGTGGGGAGAGCCGATAGATGGAGGAAGAGGATGGGAAGGAGGATCGGAGGGGGACGAGGAAGAAGACACAGAAGACACGACAGACCGGGTAGAAGGAAGGGGAACCCCAGACAGAGGACCAGGAGGAGGATCCTTCGGGAGAGAACGCAAAGGAACAGAGGAGGGGGCAGTGGGCGCATCAGGGTCCAAGGCCGGAAACGGTTGTGAGTCTGAGGAAGGCGGGAAGGACGAGGAGAGGAAGAGCGCAACACGCGAGCATAAGAGATATTAGCATAAGGCGGGAGCCAGCGAACCTGGCGCCTCGCCTCAGGAAAAGATAAACGCTCCCGGTGCTTCAGGTTGAGAACGGCTGCCTCAAGCTTGTAATGGACACACGCACGGGAGAAGGTAGGATGGGCCTCACCGCAGTTGAGGCAACGAGCCTGGGGAGAAGTGCACTCCGACTTAGAGTGACCTTCGCCACCACACAAAGGACAGAGAGAGACAGTCCCGGAGCAGCGGAGGGCACCATGCCCAAACCTCCAGCACTTGTTGCAGAGCCGAGGAGAAGGAATGTACTCCTGGACAGAGCACCTGGCACCAGCAAGAATGACAGAGGGTGGAAGGGTCCTACCATCAAAGGTAATCTTCACAACCCGGAGGGGTTGACGGCGACTACCACGAGGGGGACGAGTAAACGTGTCCACCTGGAGAATAGAATGGCCCTGGGCAGCGAGGATATGTCGAATAGCGTCGTGGCAGTCGCGCAGGTCCCGAACACCGGTCGCAACATGGGGCGGGAGCAAAATAGTGCCAACACTGGCATTCAACTGAGCGTTCTTCGAGACCCGAACGGGGGTCTCGCCAAGGCAGGATAAGGCAGCCAAGCGGGAAGCAGCATCCTGAGAAGGAGCAGCAACGACACGTGTACCGAGACGAGTGGGGTTGAAAGTAATGGAGGCATCCACGGAATCAATGAGATGTCGATGGAGGGAGAAATCGTCAGGAGGCGCAGAATCAAGAGGGAGGAGATCAAAATATTTGGCCCACGAAGCGGGACCAAACAAGGCTTGATAGGTAGCAGAACTGGAAGGAATCGAGCGAGGGCGGCCGTGACGAGGACGGCGGTGAGAACCCCCAGAGAGAGAGGGGTTAAAAGGCGCAGTAGTTACAACTAGAGAAGGAGCCGCGCCAGGGGAAGAGGTAGTCACCACTGGGGGCTTGGGGCTCGACCCAACCACAGAGGAGGGAGGGGAGCCAGGGGAAGGAGTCAGAGAGGCCAAAGGAGGAGCAAGGTCGGGTCCCAATGCAGCGGAGGCTACAGAGCCCGGTCTTCCAATACGGACCGACTCGGGGGCTTGGTCGCCCACCCCACGAGCCTGAGAAGGTAAGCCAGAAGCAGCCGAAACAGGGGTTATCATCTTGACGAAAAGAAGAATTCATTCACGAATGTGCCCCCACACCCACCATGGAGCCACAATTAGAGGTAGGACACCCAACAAGAAGCTATCGCCGATCTTGTTGGGGCCTCCTAGGGGTGCGTCGTGAGTATACGCCCCACAAACGCCACCTTAAGAAACCGACAGTCCGTCGAGATCGGGTTCAGTGACGAAAGGGGGATTGACAATAAAAGGTTCCCCTCGCTCTCGACGTCGAGTACTACAGTTCTACGGGTGCAAGAGTATGCCTCCTCAAGCACCCAGGTGTCAAAATAGAAGAAGTCCAAGGGAAGAACCAGAACGAGCAAAAGGTCGGCAGGAAACGGCAAGCAGATAGGAGAAGAGGGGGGGAGAAAAACGAAACAGAAGGAAAAGGAAAAGATGCCCAGCAGAATTGGAGAGGACGGCAGCAGGAGCACAAGGCTAGAAAAGGACAGAGGACTGTCCCAAGGAGCATCATACTCCGGCAGCCGCCCACGAAGCCCCCACACGGCGACAACGAGCTGAGCGGGGAGGGGGCCAAAGAAATCAAAACGCCTAATGTAAGGCATGCCAAGTCTTACGTAATCAATTTCAACAGAATAGGTTGGATTTCTATTCCAGACTGCGCATAAATCTATTATTGTGTTTCTGACTTAGCTGTCAGGGTTCTAACAGCTGAATGGACAGCGCTCGGGATTCGTAGTCCTAAGGTTCCGGGTTCGATCCCCAGTAGAGGCGGAAACAAATTAAGTTTCTTTCACCCTGCTGTCCCTGTTCACCTAGCAGTAAATAGGTACCAGGGAGTTAGACAGCTGCTACGGGCTGCTTCCTGGAGGGGGTGTAACAAAAAGGAGGCCTGGTCGAGGACCGAGCCGCGGGGACGCTAAGCCCCGAAATCATCTCAAGATAACCTAAGGAATATATAGTGTATGGAGACATTAATTTATATCTGAGAAAAATAGTTTTGTATTACCCGGCATGAAAATAGTTGATACAATGGCCTTTGGGTTAAGCAGGTGTGAGAGGATGGCACAGGGGTGATACTAGGCTAAGGGGGGGGGGAGAAATAATCTTTGTTACTCTATCTCTTTGAGATGTATTTTATTGTCTTAATAAACGTACTTGAACTAGGCCGTCACGGGGTCAGTAAACCTTGGTGATGACCACACCAGATATGCTCCCAAGTCTTACGTACCCGTTCACTCATAAATGCTGCCCACAATGTTCATTACTTGTTAGTCTATATTCAACAAATGATTTCATATTTGAAAATAATAGATGACAGGCGTAACAATTTTAAAGTAGAGTTTAATTTGAAAAATAAATTTAATAAAATTTGTATTTATTAAAAATAAAAATTTTGTTTGTATTAATATTTTAATACAAACACAATATTGGCTCACAAAATTGGTGTGATGTTTCGTTTTGTATGCGTGGGTCCTAGGCTAGGCTAGGTCAGGCTAGGCTAGGCTAGGGTAGGACGGGCTAGGCTAGGCTAGGACGGGCTGGTCCAACACACAAGTGATGGGGCTAGGCTGTGTGTCACACCACACAACCAGCCACACTGCTTCGCTACCACACCCTCCCATGTTGTCACATGTGGCAGTAGCACCAGCTGCCACATGTGACCTCACGCCACATGTGTGACCTCAATCCAGTAAAATCTAGTGCTGTAAAAATGTAATAATAATGAGAAAATCATTTGCAGCAATGAAATGACTGGAACCAGCCATAAGTGCTACTCTAATCAGCGCACCTTACCATTGTACCAAGACATGCGAGTACCGTGATCGCTAGTTCGAGTTCTCCCCAGTACTCCAATTGATTTTCTCATTGACATAAATCACGTTAGTGTGATTTCTGTGTGTGAATAACAAAAATGATCATTATTTTATCACTGGATCACGTAATAGGTTATGGTACAAAGTTATAATGTTGGGATATGTAATGAATGTTCCCATATTCAGACACATCTGGGGGTGCCTGGGTTGACCCGGGCACCGCCGGGTATCTCGCCTAGTATGCCATCAAGGGATAGAGCCCACCGCAGTGCCACATAAATGGTTAGAAAGAATGCATTTGTAAAATTTGATATTGATATCACTAGTAATAATAACTGTCGTTGTTAGGTGTGCTTTGGTGGGGAGGAGAGGAGAGATTCCTGCTTCGGGGACTCTGGTGGTCCCGTAGTGGTCACAGGACCCAACAACAGTCCCATCTTCACCCAGGTGAGTGTCCCACATACTCCCCCCCTCACCCAGGTGAGTGTCCCACATACTTCCCCCCCCCCTCACCCTGGTGAGTGTCCCACATACTTCCCCCCCCTCACCCTGGTGAGTGTCCCACATACTCCCCCCCCCTTCACCCTGGTGAGTGTCCCACATACTCCCCCCCCCCTCACCCTGGTGAGTGTCCAACATACTCCCCCCCCCTCACCCTGGTGAGTGTCCCACATACTCCCCCCCCTCACCATGGTGAGTGTCCCACATACTTCCCCCCCCTCACCATGGTGAGTGTCCCACATACTTCCCCCCCTCACCCTGGTGAGTGTCCCACATACTTCCCCCCCCTCACCCTGGTGAGTGTCCCACATACTCCCCCCCCTCACCCTGGTGAGTGTCCCACATACTTCCCCCCCTCACCCTGGTGAGTGTCCCACATACTCCCCCCCCTCACCCTGGTGAGTGTCCCACATACTTCCCCCCCCCCTCACCCTGGTGAGTGTCCCACATACTCCCCCCCTCACCCTGGTGAGTGTCCCACATACTTCCCCCCCCCTCACCATGGTGAGTGTCCCACATACTCCCCCCCCTCACCCTGGTGAGTGTCCCACATACTCCCCCCCTCACCCTGGTGAGTGTCCCACATACTTCCCCCCCCTCACCCTGGTGAGTGTCCCACATACTTCCCCCCTCACCCTGGTGAGTGTCCCACATACTCCCCCCTCACCCTGGTGAGTGTCCCACATACTTCCCCCCTCACCCTGGTGAGTGTCCCACATACTTCCCCCCCTCACCCTGGTGAGTGTCCCACATACTTCCCCCCCCCTCACCCTGGTGAGTGTCCCACATACTTCCCCCCCCCTCACCCTGGCGAGTTCGTTTAAGTGTTTATTTCCGTTTCTTGTGTTCAGTATTTATTTAAATCTCATATTTTCAGTGTTCCCCCCACATACCCCCTCGCATCCCTTCCCCACATCCCTCCCACTTCCGATATTCTCCTTCACCTCATAGTACCGTGTCTCCCTGCAGCTGGCGGTGGTGTCCTTCGGGCAGCCTGCGTGTGGGGTGGCGGGGGTCCCCGCCGTGTACACCAGCGTGGGGCCCTACAGGTCTTGGATACTCTCCAACCTGCAGCCCTAGCTGGCCAACCTGCAGCCCTAGCTGGCCAGCCTGCAGCCCTAGCTGGCCAGCCTGCAGCCCTAGCTGGCCAGCCTGCAGCCCTAGCTGGCCAACCTGCACCGCTCACCCCCCTTTCCCACATCCTTTCCTCTTTATCTTTGAAAAAATATATATATACATACAAGAGGAAGGGGGTGGTAGGCTAATAGAACATGGAATCAGTATTGGAGGGGACCTAAACATTCCCTCTAATGAGTTGGGTGTGCTTTTCTCCGAGGCTAAGGGTCCCCCTTCTTCCAGTCAGAGGTGGTACTCCCATCTGTTTTTATATATATATATATATATATATATATATATATATATATATATATATATATATATATATATATATATTCATTTACTTATGTATGTGCGTGTGTGAAATACCTTCATATTCCAGCGTTTAAGATCAAACAATTATTTATGACTATTATTTGAGGTAATGATCAAACAAGCAAAGTACAGTGCGGTGTGTGTGTGTAATCCTGTAATTGCGGTGAGAATGTTGAATGGAAGCCTCAAATTAACCTTATACCCTGGATTGTTTATACAACACCCCCCCCCCCTCCCCCAGCATCAAGCAAAGAGTAATAGTAATTTGTTCATATAATATGTTGAGTTGTAAGTACATTGAGTGATAACTTAAGTCATATTTTGTTATTGATGCATTTGTCAAATAATCATGTTTATTATCATCGTCTTTAATAAATAGATGTATAAAAGTTGCACATGTTTTATTGTACGGACGTATATTTATTTATTCATTTATTTATATACAAGAAGGTACATTGGGTTTGTGAGAATACATAGCATAGTATTTACAATCTTGTAAAGCCACTAGTACGCGCAGCGTTTCGGGCAGGTCCTTAATCTAACAGATAATTTTAAGTAGGTAAATTCTAGCAGAATTAATAAAATGATAACAAATACATTGCAAGAAAAAAAATGAGATGAGAGAGATTAGTAAGTATATTAAAGCAGATTGGTATATTAAAGCTCTGATTGATTACATTGACATCTTGATTGGTAATTTAAACAAGATTAATAGACACCATACAGCAGATTGACGGTACATACAAGAAGACAGCAATGATCGCAATGATAAAGATGTTCGAATTGGGTACATTAAGATTGGGAGATTGGGTAGCAATAGATACAGTGCAATTTTAAGGCAAAAGGTAAAAAACTATGAAGATGAAATTAGGTACTTTTTAGTATTGTTTTTGAATGACGCAAAAGTTGGACAGCTTTTCATTTCAATAGGGAGTGAGTTCCATAAACTGGGTCCCTTTATTTGCATAGAGTGTTTACACAGATTAAGTTTGACTCTGGGGATATCACAGATATATTTATTTCTGGTGTGGTGATAATGGGTCCTATTACATCTGTCCAGGAAGAGTTTCAAAGCAGGGTTCCATTTAAGAACAGGGTTTTGTAAATGTAGTTGACACAAGAGAATGTGTGGAGTGAGATTATGTTTAGCATGTTTAGGGAGTTAAACAAGGGAGCTGAGTGTTGTCTGAAAGCAGAATTTGTTATTATTCTGAAAGCAGATTTTTGCTGGGTGATGGGTTGGGGTTGTGGGAAATTTTTACCCACCATATCTAATAATCATCTAAGAAATGTATAATTTCTATATCATATCTAAATCATATCAAAATCATATCTAAATCGTATCAAAATCATATTAGAATCATTAAAAATTCATTATAGCTTGATCCTGGATGACAATGGCACCATGAACACGTACGCAACAGGGGCCCTTTTGATGCCTACGTGACTTTGTACATGATCTTTCAAGGATCCAGAAGCTTCTAGAAGGACTTCTTAATTAAAAAACTATTGGAACATTGATTCAACATCCGGTAGGATTAAAAATCGAATCCTTAATAAGATTCAGTGGTACTTTCAAATACTACTTATAATCTTTAAATCTTATATCTAATTATATTATAATCACATCTTATCTTAATCATAAGTCTAGACTGTAAAAATAATCAATCAATATTCATTGCAAGCTACCTCTCAAGGGAGAGGGAGAAGGCTCTCGGGGGGCGAGAAGCGCCCACGACGATGCCTCGCGGCACTCCGCGTTTGTTTACAAATGAGTGAACAAGTGACTGATCCTTAGCGAACATTACCAGCTCAAGGACACCTTATCTAACATTTTTATCGCCAGTGAATACTCTCTAGAACTGGGGGAGTACCTGGACAATATCTACAAGGAAAATCCGTGAACATTCACATAAAATAGAGTGTATAGTGGAGATCAGTGACACGGTTTCCTCCACCTTCATTCATAAACTTTTATCTCGAATCATTCTTCTGCAACTGCAGGATAATCACGTAGCAACGCTACCAGATCATCATACAGCAACGCTGTAGCAAAATATCGTGCCTAAACTCGACAAGAGAGTTAATCAGTCTGGCAAACTTGTCAGACAGGCACCCCGACTGGCAGAGAAGTATATTGAAGGTTATTTGGTGTATGATTGGCCAATTGTATGCTTGTGTAACTTTAATATCCTATAAATCTGTCTGTTGGTTAAAAAGCGAGGCTAAGCCTCACATTTCAGTAAGTTTATTAAAATTGTAGTGTAGCTGTGAATCTTATCCAAGCACTGAACCTCATGAGTGTCCATTCTGTCAGAAAAGAATTCAGCCTCAATAAGTAAAAACCTCACAAGTGTCCATAGCGTGGGAAGAGATTCACTCAAGCTAACTGTATCATATAAATTGAATATGTCTGCATATATATTTGAATATATAAATTAAGTTATCAATTGTTTGCTTAGTTAATTTTTAAGTTATCATATAAGTTCATTTAATTGAATATAATTTCTAGTACTTGACAGTATTTAGACTACATTTAAGGTCATTTATTATACTTTTACAATTTAATTTGTTGTTTATAGTATAAGTACATATTGGCTGTTAAGTTATGGTACTAGGTTAGACTATGTATGTTTAAATCTCTGATTTAAACAGAGCCAGTGTTCAGTCAGATAACTGAATTTATCAAATCTTATCCTTGTATAAAATACAAGCTGATGTGAGATCCCTGTCTACAGGTGGATTGGAACTTCTATCAACATAGTCATTCACCCCACCTGTCCCTTACAGCCCACAGTTTGTCATTAGGAAAAGAGGATCTAGGATTTACAACCCTAGCTAGAGATTTTAGTTGAATTAATTTGCAGACAGTAAATTTTTAATTTAGTTCAGTACAAGTCCCTGGTAGTCTCCTCTTATATCAATCCCAGCAGGTTTTTCCCACATTAATGGTCCTTCGAACCTAGATAATAATGGTCCTTTATACCTAGATATTTATGATCATTCGTTTATCGAATATTTCAGTGCCAAATACATAAGAAACTTCTTGATTTTGCATTGGAATAATTCTTACATATTCTAGCCTAACCTAGCTATCAGCCAATATTTATCATAGCTATATATCTAAGTAAACAAATAGTTTGCAGTGGCTTAAGCCACCATATCCATTAACTAGTAAGCATTCATAACAAACTGATACTGTTTTGTGTTAAGAAACCACAGTACTTAATTATATCAGTGTCACAGACACAACTGCATCTTAATCATAAATTACCAATTATCTACCTCATTGTGGTAACATTACATATATATTTAAGTGTATTATCTAGCATTATCTCTAATCTACTGATTTTCAGAGCTGCTCATTACATAATATTCTTTAAAAAAGTGTTATCATCACTGTAAGAGCATTTCATTACAATCTATCTATAATCAACTGTATCATACCCTATATTACAGGTAAAACCAGTAGACATTCTACTGTATTTTATCTAACAACTATTATGGTAACAGATTTTGTAATAACTTTGCAAAAATAGTGCCATTTACTATTTTTAAAAAATTATTACAGGATTTACCAACTTGGTGCATTCGTGCATTCGGGTCACAAATCAAATTATTACAGTACTTTTGATAATTGAACACCTGCTACAACCAGATTCCAGGGAGGAAATGAAGGACGATCTTTGGAATCATTACCTAAGTAGACAGGAAAGCTCATTTATCAAAATACATTAACATCATACATATTTATCAGAAAAAAGAGAAAAATCTCGGAATCTCCAAAACTCGGAAAAGGTCAAAATGGCTGACAGTGTTCCACCAGCAGCTGAAACAGAAAAGAAAAGGACACAAAGTGTCTAAAAACTCACTTGAATCTACAGCCTAAAGACCATTTAAATCAGGTGATAGACAAATGTCATCATCACTTGGCTACAATAGTCTACAATTGGGGATTAAGACCAATCTTAATCTCACATCACAATCTGAAAGGCTAACAACACATTGACAATGTCAATACAAATATTATCATCCATCTAAGATAACTATCTTAATCCAAGAATATAGTCTTGATCACCTAATCTCATGCTTTCACTGGAGTGAAAGCAGCCTCAGAAAATCTGAAATTAATCAAGCATCTCAAAGAGACTTACTTAATAGAAAAGGCAAAGCCGAGAAAAAAAAAGAAAAAGCAAAATGCTTCATCACATCATGAATAATGTAGATACACATTATTACAGATACAATTCATCCTTTAAGGAAATCCTTGGAGGAGTACAAGTGTTACATGCTTGTATCACCTACTTGCATGTAATTACTTACCTACAAGTTTTACATACTTGTAACAACATCTTATCACAAAGCCAAATCTTTGATGGACTTCGAGCTTACGTACAAAGATTACGAAGCCGAGGAAAACTTAGATCTCAAGAAAAAATCCCCAAAGGTGAATCTACGGACAAAAACAAAAATGTCCAAAATGGCAGTCAAAAATCAAGGCAACAAAACTCCTCTTCTGCAAAGTGGAAACAGAATAATGTTGGCTCTTATGCTATATCCCCCACAGTTAACAGAACTGTAGGAAACCAAGCTCCTAAGACAGATAAGACAAAAGGAGCTACAAGTGCCCCAAAATGTTTATTCTGTCAAGAAGCACATACCATTTATCAATGCACAGTTTATGAAGGCCGTGCCAGTCGAATCGATCGACTGAAATCTCCAACAGGTGCATCCGTTGTCTACGGAAGCACGATACAAGTGAGTGTAACACTCCATTGCAAAACTGCCAATATTGTCATAAAAGTGTACATCACACAGCACTCTGTAGTGATATTAACACTCAATCCAGATCACAGACTTCCAATAATCAACCTGCATCTCAGGCAAAGCCCAAAGATGATAATACCACA